CCTCTTTCCCCCCTCCCCCTTCCCTTAGTTTGTTCGCCACGCCTAGGCCGGACAGTCGCCAGTCTGCCATCTGCTAGCGGAAGAGTGTGAGGAGTGAAGTCCTTGCGGCCCGGTACCTTCTGCTGTTCTGACAGCATTCTATAGAGCGCGGCTCGAGCTGCAGCGAGGTACGAAAGTGAGACGTCCGAAATGGATAACTGACATTAGAAACATAATAGTAAGCAAAATATTCCGCTGTACAGTTTCCTAACAGTCCGTCCTGTATATTTTATTTACGGGCTACACCGTAGAGATATGGACCGTACTTCAGTATCGAAGTCAAAGTGCTGTATTTACCAAAAAGACGGTTTGCCAAGGTACGGTACATCCTGTACGGAGTGGACCGCAATCCAAAATTTCAGTCACGGGCGTGCAATGTTAAAAATAACTTTCACCTGACGGCAATCTGCGGGATGACATTCCCGTATTGTAACAGAAACGTTGTTTTCATTTGAACCCTCTCGAAACTTGTTATATTCGTCCTATATTGACCCACAATAAAAACTACTTGGTATCACTTTGTGGTACATTTACAAGAGAAGAGCAATAAATTTTGTTATCAACACATTTTGTTCCACAATGGCCATTGTACTATAGACGACGTGACCCTGAGCGTGGCAACGTCGCAAAACTCTCTGCTAGAACCGCTAGAGACCCGCGTACTGTACACGAAATAACGTAACGTCTTTTTGGCCATTCTAGAGAATTTTTATAATTTTAGTATTGGTCAAAAACTTTACTCGGAACGCTGTTTAATACACTATGCACCGTTCCCACATTGACTTTTACCGCTGGGTCACATCGTCTATTACAACTTTTATACCGAAGCAAAACAAAAGTGCTGTGTTCGGTCGGAAACTTCGTTTACTCTATTATGATTAATGTGGTTTTTAGCCCGCCCTTCTGCTTTTAAACAAGCAGGCCCGGCCCTGCCCTCCTGCTTGGCCTGCCGGCGGCGATGGTCGGGCCTGCGGCCCGACCATTTCTGTCACACGGTTTGCTACAGAATATGATCGACTGATATAGCGGGCCTTCGTCACGCTTAAACCCGTCGTCTTTGAGTTTGCCCCGCAGGCGAGGGGGCCGCCACTCCTGAAATCATGTGTACGCCCTCCCTGAAATCCTCCCGAAATCATTTGAAATCCACCTGCAATCATGAAATCATGCGTAATCTTCCAGCAAATTTTAGTCTGAAATCCTTAGAAGGTCATGTAAAAGCCGCCGGAATCACGTAAAATCCGCCGGAATCTTGTGAAATCCGCCGAAATCCGGTAAAATCCGCTGAAATCATCTGTAATCCTTCAAATCAGACATAATCTGCCGGCAGATTTTAGCGTGAAATCTTCTAAAATAATATGCGAAATCCGTGAAATCACGCAATCTTTGCAATCATGTGTACATCCAAAGAGAGAGTGGTGGCCCCCTCGCCCGTAGGCACGAGAAAGGGATGTAACGGTGAGGCACCGCGACTACAACCCACCCTTCTGCTTAGAAAACGTTTTTTGGGGGTGGGGGGGGG